AGGTTGCCACACACAAAGGCTGCACATTTTTCCCTGTTCACAGCCAATCCAGGAGTCCAACTGTGCCATAAACATTACAGAAAGCCAGCATTCAGACAACTATATTAGATATATTCCACATACAGTGCATGTAATGCTTTTCTTTCTTATATTTATGTTGTAATGATTCAACCTGTAATTTTCCTAATCAGATATTTAGGGAGATGACACAAATAAGGTAAATCATGATATCACATGATCCCCCCTCACGGCCCAGTGCTAGAAGCTGAAAGGAAGTCATGCAGTGATATGTCTGTGCCTTGCTAGAACGGCAATTCTTGCTCACACACAAGTCTCTGTCTCTGTGGGTCTAGTCTGGGAATTGCATTCCCAGCCAGCCCAAAGGTAAGGCATTCACTTCAGTGGTGATTTGAGCATCAAATCAATAAGAGAAAACCTGTTACTGCCCTTTAAACAGAAGAGTCTTCCAGGGAGTAGAGGGATCTCAGACTCACTGATGCCTAATATACTTTGGGGTGCAGGTCCTCTCCAGCATCACCCTAGAAAGAAGGGGAGAGAGAAAACCCAGCCTTAACACAGTCACATGGGGAGAAGGACTCACCCTGGGAGATGGGAGGAGGAACATGGAGATGCAGGACTGGACAGAAACCAGGGCCATGGAGCCAATCTCCATAATGTGCAGACCATTTCCACCCTCTCTCCTTTCTTCTGCCTCTAATGGTTCAGCCCTTCTGAATTATGAGCAGGTTTTGGGTGCACTTCCCCAGGGATTTACATCACTGTGTAATCATCAGTATTACTATCCACATACACTGTACAGTGATAGTCAGCCTCACCCTCAGGCTGGGCCCTCGTGATGGTGAGGGAGACTTTGTTCTCAGAGATGGATCCAGAAAAGTGCTCAGGGACCCCGGAGGTCGGGCCGCTTGAGCTGTAGATGAGTGTGCTGGGAGCCTTTCTTGGGGTCTGCTGGAACCAGCTGTGGTTGTTAGAGAGAAGGGGAGAGAGACACCCAGAGAGAGACAGATAGAGACAGACACCTGAACTAAGGCCACAGGTGAGTGTGACCATCCCTCCTGGAGACACAGACAGTGACAACTCCTTGGCTACCACAGTCTGGGATACACACCAAAAACCAACAGCAGACAGACAGTTATTGTTAAGGGACAGAAGGGTCACTGTGAGATGGTGCTTGTATTTGCTCCCAGTCCCCAAAATACAGTCTCTTTCTTTGACCTGAACTGTAAGCAAGAAGCCTGAGCAGGAGCACCATCCAGGCCATGGTGGGGACACTCAGAGGACAAGCCTCCACAGGTCCTGGGCTGGAGGGTGATGTCTTTGGGGCTTTTTCATGCTTCCCAAGCCCATTAGGAGGAAGAGGTAGTTCATGCAAACCAGCTTCCCCTCTTCTGTCCTGCCCCCATGTCACCCTGATGTCCCCTAGTTGTCATCTTGAAAGAGACAAATGCTGGTGCCTCACACAAACCAATGAGCGCACAGTGACTGAGATGCCCTGTGTGCTGGGCAGCTGACATCTTCCTCCCACTCAGCTTCCTTATGACTCTAGTGACCTTATTCCTGAGAGTCTTACCTGCAGTGGCTGAGGCTGAATGATGAGATGTGTGTGTTGACCTTTTAGCCCCAGAGATCTAGTTCATTTCAAATATAACCTGGATCCTGAGAACATCTTCTTCCTCAGAGAGAACTCTTTCTCTCTTCCTTGGAAAGGCTTAGCAGTTACTCCTTTCTCCTGAGTGAGTCTCCGGGACCATCACAGCACCCATGCCTGGGGTGTAGGAGTCTCTACCTCTGACAACATCTTGTAAACTGTCTCCAGTAGCACCAGGGGGACCAGGCCTTGGGCTGCGCACTCACAGGGCCGCACCACCAGCCTGGGGAGGGCAGACCCCCTGGACCCTGGGAAGCCATGACTTTATGGGGTCTCTTCAGTGTGACTGTGGTTTGGAGGAGCAAAGGTCAGACTGTCACAATGAAATTATGAGACATCTGGCAGCATCAGATCTCGCAAAATAGGAGAACACTTTTCTCATAATCAGAAATATAAAAAACTCAACACTGTTGGAGCAAGTTGGGGTTAATATCATAGAACATTTTAAGACTTTGTTTCTCTACCTTCTGCTGTGGAGCAGAAGGAATAGGCAGTGTGGACAAGGGGGTCTGTGATGGAAGAAAAATGATCAGAAAGGTGAAGTGTCTCAGGTGACAGGTCCTGGCTGGTGTGGCTCAGTTGTTTGGAATGTCATCCTGTGCTGGGAAGGCTGCGGGTTCCATTCCCCGTCCGGGTTTCATGAGGGCAACCGATTGATGTTTCTCTTTCCCATGGATGTTCCTCTCTCTTCATTCCTCTTTCTCAAAGCCCTGAACAATGTCCTTGGGTGAAGATAAAAACATAATTAAAATGTCTCAAGTACTTGGAAATGAGGAAGTACACAACTTGTGTTTGGCATACTTGAAATAATAATATGGTTTGGTTTTCATTTTGGAATTGTTACTAAATTTTGAATTTAATTAAAATAGTATGATATTTTTTCTTTCCCTTTATGATTCATAAGAGCCCAACGTTGTTCATACTGAAATAACTTATGATTATATAGCTATACCTCTGATAGTGTAGAAAAATAAGTAATATTATATGTATAAAATATTGACATGAAAAGTATTAAGACGAAACTAAAGAAATGACAAAGCTGAAACAGAACAATATCAGTTTTCCTAAGTCATTAGAATATATTGAAAAATAAGAAATGAAATAACGAGAGGAAAATAACGGATATGATAACAGAAAAAGGGGTGATACAATGATAACACATTGCATCATGAGTCAATTGGAAGCCATATTAACCAAAAGGATCCCTGAAATTTGTTGCCCATACAGATGTCTTCAGGCATTTTCCAGACACCATGGGTCAGTTAGTGTGTCCATGAGGCAAATCAATGGGGAACTAGGAGCACATCCATCTCTATGGAGTGAGAAGAGGGTAGTTAGACTGGGTGGGAGACACAGCAGGGGTGCCCCTGGAGCCCCTCACATGCAAGAAGGAGACAGAGCAGCTCCCCCTGTGGGTCCTGGGGGAGCTCTTCTCTCTGAAAGGACATGCTGGCCTCTTCTCAGCCATTGTCCCCCAAGTTCTAGGTCCAACATCCCCCAGAGAGAGCACACATACCCTGCTCTCAGTCCAAATCTAACCAGGGAGACAAAGGGGGCTTTGTTGTTATAACCTACAATCTTCTTGCTCATGTGCTGAATTGCTTGTGCAAATATCAGCTGTGATCATAAATGATATTGGTTTCTAATTGTCAAATCTCATACTGTTCTTCTCAGTTTGGAATTCTTTGATTAGTAAGATGAGAATATATGTGGAGTCACCTGCCCTCTCTATCATTATACGATTTTTATTAAACAAAGTCTTAGACACTGTGGATAGCAAAGCCAGAAGCATCTGCTTTGGAAGGACAGGCCCTTGAAGGACGGGCCCTGGAAGGATGGTTGGAAGGTAGCAGAAAGCTGAGTGACAACCACCTGTGCCCAGATAGTAGTAGCATATGTCCCCTTCCCCTAGTAATATTCCCCTGTCCCCTAAAGTGAAGTCTTGGTTCATTGACTGAAATGGTAAAGAGAAGAGTCCAGGCCATGGTGAAGCCACCACAGACCTTTGGATTGACACAGTCTCTGCCCAGATGTCTCTGAGCAGACATTCACTGAGCACCAAGGATAGATGAAGGTAAGAACCTGAGGTCCCCTGGTTTCACAGTTCTCCTGACAGTATGAGCCAAAACCCCAGCTGGTATAGTACAGAGTCAGACATAGAGCCCTGATGAGATAGGGTGCAGAGTGGACAGCAGAATTCACCTCACTTCTCTGTGGACCTGCAGCCCTTTGGTGGCAGGGCATTGTCCTGAGCTATGTGACAGCGAGCGCTCACCTCCTCAACAGGCTGCATCCCACAGCTGGGCAGGAGGCCCTGTGCACACACCAGAAGGCAGAGAAGAGGGCCAAACCCCTGAGGATCAATCACTCTCTCTTAGCTCACAATATAGGGACTCTGCCTGGGACCACTGGGCACCATTTCCATCATCACCCTCAATGTGTGGGTTGCTCCTTGTGCAGGAAAAGGAAGCCTCACATTTGGGCTTATCAAGAGCTTTAAGGTGTAAATGAAATAGGCAAATATTGGGAAGTTCTTTCTCCTGATATCCCATAACCTACCCTGTGCCCTGAATCTGGGAAAGCTCCAGTGGGGTGTGAGAGGAGGGAGCCCAGTCAGTGCCAGTGGGCTCAGGGAACCTGCTCATGGATCCCTCTCAGAGGAGTCCCCGTGCTCCTGAGTGGTATCAGCCATAGGGACATTTATCCATGAACCCAGGTCACCCATATTCCCTTGGGTGGGCTCAGCATTTTTACAGCAATTATGGGTCATACCCCCACTGACTCCAGTGCCATAAAGAAGAATTTGGCCCAGGCCTCGAATTTTCCTTTCCCAAACCCTCCTCTACCTGACTTCGCAACCGAAGGCCCAGGCCCCCAGCCAGGGGTCCAGGCCAGCTGTGTCCTGTGTCCTCACACAGTGTCTCACAGCTTAGTGCCTCATCCCTGGGACACTGTGTGCTGTGGGGGCTCTGAGCGGATGGGACTGAAAGGGCCAGGCAGGTCCCTGCTCAGAGCCCTGGCCCTGCAGAGTCTGTTCTGTGGAGACTGTCACTTGCCAGGGTGTCCCTGGAATATAACAAAGAGTAAACAGAGAAAAGCCTCCATTGTCTCATTTCAAGAGGCCAAGGGCAGCTCCACAGGCCCCAGTTCCCACAGTGAACACCAGGCAGCTCTGCAGTATCACTGTGACCACTGTGTGTCCAGTTTTTCCTCCATGTCCCTGAGACTCTAGACTTGGGATGGAAAACTGGGAGTAGACCCATGCTAAACCAGAAGGTCCCCCGAGTATAGTTTACATACACAGAAATTATTTTGAAATGGTCAATTGTCTTGAAGAAAACTCTGTTAGGCTGAGGTTTTTGTTCCACTTCCCCTTCTGTGTGAGTCACTGTGAGGAGCACTACTGAGCCAGATCATACAGTAATAGTCGGCCTCGTCCTCAGGCTGCAGCCCAGAGATGAGCAGGAGCCCTGCATTGGCAGAGGTGTCTTTGGATCCAGAGAAGCGGCTGGGGACCCCAGAGCCCTGGTGCTTGTCTGAGTCTGATTTATATCTCAGCAGATACTGGGGAGGGCTGCCTGGCTTCTGCTGGTACCAGTATATCCTATAGTTGCTAACACTGATGTCACTGCTGAGGGTGCAGGTGAGTCTGGCTGAGGCTCCAGGAGATGCAGAGAGGGAGGGCGGCTGAGTCACCCCAGGCTGGGAGAGGGAACCTGCAAACAGAGACATGTATCAGTGATGTGGCTGGGATCAGGGGAATTTTCTCAGGAGATGGATCAGGAAGGGAATAAACTTAGCAACTGAGCCCTGGCTCCTGGGGCCTGTTCCTACCTGTGCAGTGAGAGAGGAGCACGAGGAGGAGAGGAGTCCAGGCCATGGTGCTCACAGCCCCTGAGCCCACAGTGGGGCTGGGCTGCCCAGGCCTCTTTTCTTCCCAACCCTCTGCCAGGGGAGGGGCTGTTCATGCAAATGTGTGTCCTGCCAGGGGCTGCCCAGCCCCTCCCTGAGCCCTGGTGCTGGAGCTCAGCTCACACCCCCAAAAGAGGATGGAGGTTATCTTCACCCCTTTAAAAGTCACGTCGATCAGAGAAGATCAGGTACATTCAGGGTAGCATGGCCTCACAGAGCAGCTGAATGAACCTCAAAAGTAATTTGATAGAACATCAGAAGCCCTATGTTCTTGGCAGCACAGTTTATGGTCTACAAGACATGGAAGCAGCCTCAGTGTCCGTCAGTAGGTGAGTGGATAAAACAACTATGGGATATTTACACAATGGAATACTGCTCTGCCATAAAAATGAAGAAATTTTTACCCTTTACAACAGTGTGTTGAGTGAGGCACTAAGCTGATTGACTTGGAAAATTTGATGCTGTGTGAAATAAGCCAGTTAGAGAAACACAAAACAATATGATTTCACTCATGTGTGAATCCAATGAACAAACTGAACTAATAAGGAACATAGAGACAGACTCTTAGATAGAAACCAAGGTTACAGCTAAGGGGGGAGGGTCAGAGGGTGGAGGGAGTGAGACAAAAGGAAAAAGGACTCATGGACATGGACAACAGTAGGGTGATTGTGGGGGAAAGTGATTAAGAGAGAATGAATGATAATGGAAAAAACATTATTGAAGAAAGAAAAAGCTTGGGGAGGAAGCACCTGCTGAGAGAACATAAAGGTCTTTGCTCAGAGGATCTGCCAGGCCAGAGAGGACCCATCTGCAGAGTAACAGTCAGTGAGTTCCAGCCCCTCCCCCAGCCCCAGGATCCATTGAGTAAAGGGTCCCAGCTGAGCTGCTGTGTATGGAGCACAGGGCAGTCCCACAGCGCCCCCTGCTGGTTTCAGCCCACACTCCTCACCAGGGCCTGAAGCCCTAAGAGCCCTGCTGGTCTCTGCAGTTCAGCAGGTTACACATCATTGCTTGCGTTTGATTCCTAAAACTATAACGACTTTATGATCCAGATTTCCACTTGTGGGTGTTTATCTGAAGAAAACTACAACATCTCTAGAACACATGCGCAACCCCAGGTTCAGAACAGCATTATTATTTAATAGCCAACATGTGGAAATCACCTAAGTAACGGTTGATGGGTCAATGGCTAAAGATCAGGTCATACATAATACATAATGTTAAATCAATGTCTAAATGCGCTTTTGAGAGAAATGGAATCTTGTCATTTGACACAACAGGAATAAAACTTGGGGACATTATGCAACATAAATAAGTCAAACAGCAAGACAGATACCATGATCTCACTTATATGTGTAATCTGATCAATGAAAACAACCCTAACAAACAAAAGATACAGAAAACAAATAGGTGATTGTCAGAGGCTGAGGTAGGATGGAATAGAAATGAGAGAAGTTCAAAGGTACAAATTTATAGTTATAACATAAATCAGGCCCTGGCCAGGTAGTTAGTTCACTTGCTTAAAATGTGTTGCAATAGGGCAAGGTTGTGGGTTTGACCTTTGGTCAGGGCACATACAAGAAGCAACCAGTGAATGTGTAAACAAGTGGAACATCCACATCTGTGTGTGTGTCTCTCTCCTTCTCTTTCACCCTGTGTCTCTCCCAACCCCTTCCTCCTTCTCTCTCTAAGGTCATTTCTCCGAAGAAGACAACACTATATTTTTTAGAATGCTCTAGAAGCCAATATCTGGGGAAAAAACAGACTCATCACGCTGGGCACCATCATATGCAATTCCAGTCAATGGACAAGACAATAAATAAAATGCATAAACTGGTGTGGGAGCGTGCACATTTTTAAATATTTCCATTAGCAATAGTATGCAACCATGAAACCACACCTGACCTCATACTCGTATAGGCAACTCTAACACGTCACTGCCGGGAGCATCACACCTCCTCCCCCTGGTGATAAGTATCAATATCCATTACTGGAGTGAGGAGTCTGGCCCCACCCGTGCCCACCCACTCATGTGATTATGTAACGATTGTGCACAGCACAGCCACACCTACACTGTTACCTGGACCCCCTGGGAACCCACGTTACCACCTGGAGCACAGATTTATATGCAGCTTCCTTTGCTGTTAGTCTGATTGGTGTCCCTCATTTTCACAGGTACTTCGGTCAGTAACTTCCTTCCCCTTCCCCCCAGGGCAGTGGCTCCTGCCTTCACAGTGCAAACTGATGGGCTCCTGTCACTTCCGCATCCCACCACGGGATCCTCAACCTCCTAAATTCCACTTCATGTGCACACTTAAAGTCTCTCATTGTGATTTACAGTTTTCAATGCATTTGACAAGGTCACAGTGCCATTTAGGCGCCATTACATTGTCATATAGAATAATTCAGTTGCTACTTTTTTCTTTTCACAGTCAAATTTACAACAGATATTCATACTCTCCCTAGAGTGTTGCCTCTTCCAAAATGTGACATCATTAGAATCATATTAAAAAAGACACCACCTCTTAAAAAGAGGCCGCTTCTTGGAGGACCTCCCCACTGCTTCCAGCTTGGGGTGAGGCTACACACAGCAGTAACACACACCCATGCATGGCCTTCCAGTTGCTTTCATGTTGGGAGGACTGTTAATAAAGATACTTTAAACTTTCACAGGCAGCTGTTTCTGTAGACACAAATCTGGATTTATTCTTATAATTTCATTTTATTGACTGTAACTTTTTATTGAGTTATAAATAACATACAATGCTATATTAATTTTAAGGGTACAACATTATCATTCCATATGAATATGTTGCAAACTCCTCACCAGAGTCAGTCCAGTTGACATCTGTCCTTAAACAAGGTACAATTATTATTATCTCTTATGCTGAGAATGTCTGGGGTCTGCTCCTTCACCTGGGTTCACACAGGCACGATCATAGCATCTCTTTCATTGTCCTCGTGCTGTCCATGACGTCCCCAGAACCATTCATTTCACACCTGGAAGTCGGTCTCCTCTCACACCCTTCACCAATGTGGACAACCCCCTTCATCACCCACGTCTGGACACCACCAAATCGTTCTAATTTTGTACTTTTATAAGACTACATTTCATACCAAAAGTCAGAAGAGAAAACAAAGCAGTCAGCAGGGATGACTCTGAAGAACCTTATAATCTGAGATTTTAACAGCTGACTCATCCTTCACACACAGCACACACGGTGCTGAGGCGCCATGATAGGCCAGGCACCAAACAGTGTTTCATTTATTTGAACATCACAAGAAAATATTAATACAAACGAGTGTGAAAGTCAACTGTCCCCAGCTGAAGGGGAGACAGACTTTCAGTTTTTGTGGAATCTTTCATCAAGAAAAGTGCTGCTGTGAGTGACATTAAAGACAGAAGAGAATCCTTCCTTGCCAGACAGTGTCCCTTGGTGAATCTGGGTCCAGTACAGCAGCCAGAGAATGAGCTGCAGTCACAGGGCACAGGCTGAGTCTGGGCAGCAGTGGCTGTAGTGTTCGCCCAGCTCACAGATGGCACAGGGGTTCTTGTCTCACTTCCCCACAGGCCTGCAGCACTGTGGGACCATTGAGACTATCGTCCCATGCTGCACAGTAATAATCAGCCTCATCTTCAGCCTGGAGCCCAGTGATGGTCAGGGAGCCTGAGGTTCCGGACTTGGAGCCAGAGAATCGATCAGGGACCCCTGAGGGTCGATTGCTACTATAATAGATGAGGAGTTTAGGGGCCTTTCCTGGGAGCTGTTGGTACCAGTACACAGAATTACTGCCAAGGTTGGAGCTACTTCCAGTGCAGGAGATGGTGACCCTCTGTCCTAGGTTCCCAGACACTGAGGGAGGCTGAGTCAGCACAGACTGGGCCCAGGATCCTGGAGGAGAGAGACACACAGAGATGTGATCAGGAGTCTAGAGACAAGAGGAGGAACCCATCGTCCCAGAATCCTTCCTCTGTCTCCTTATCGAGTCACCTGTGCAGTGAGCGAGGAGGGTGAGCAGGAGAGGGCACCAAGCCATGGTGGAGACCATCCCTGAGTCCTGCCTTCTGTGGCCCCACAGCTGAAGCAGAGCTTCCCCCACATCTCTCCCTTCCCTTCTTCATACTCTGAGAGAGGGAGGGTCCACTCATGCAAATGAGACACCTCCATCCCCAGCTGTATGTTTCCCCGCTGGGCCCAAACCAGACGCCTCTGCCTGAGGAGGCCATGGGTGTTTGCAGGGTGAGGCTGTGTGAGGCCCATGGGTGGGGGAAGTCACAGCTGTTAGTCCAGGACAGAGGACACTAGGCAGAGCCAGGAGGTTGGTAACAGTTCAAATCACCCCTGGTCCCTTAAAACAACACCCAAGCGCCCTCTAGTGTCCAGGGTTAGGCACAGCACTGTGTGACATGGGGCCCAGAACCCATCAGAAGCAACCTCTGCATCCCAGGGCTCTCTGTCCACTGAATCCTGCCTTAGGTCCAGGCCAGCGGTCCCCTCTTGTGGCCTCCCCATCACCTCAGGGCATTTTGTGCTCTACTCAGTGTTCTCTGGTTGTGTCTGTCCTCAGCTCCTTTGTGACTGACTGTTCAGTGGTCAGGACTGAGGTCCTGTCTCTCACACAAACTCTTAGAACACTACAAGTTCAGAGCAGTGATGAGCCCCAGTTGTATTTGTCATGAGACAAAGACTTGACAATCTCTATGACGGGGATGAGCAGTGTGACTTAGGTCCTTGTCCCAGACCCAAGCATCCCTCCCAAACCCCTGGGTCTTTGGGCGGAAGTGCACTTGACGGCCACGCGTGCACCCTCCCGATGCTCACAAGCACTTTCCATTTGAGCCTTGGCCTGTAGGGCTGTGAGCAGGCTGGGGTGTCATCAGAACAGTCCAGTGTGAAGATGGGACTGGACTGAAGGCTCACGGATGATGAAAAGGCCTCTGAACTTTGGATCCTGAGGGACAACTGACTGTAGGGAAGGCTCCTGAGTCTAGTGTTGAGCACAGGGGGGAGGTGGGTCTATGGGCCTGACTGGGGTTCCAATGGAAGACTTGCATTTCATTCTCCTCTTGGGCTGGTGCCTTGGCTTAGCGTGAGATCCCTGCAAATCTCAACACGCATCGTCACCCTTGTTTCTTCCTGTTCCATCCTCCTACAGGAGCCCAGAAGGGTCAGAAGAATGAGCAACCAACTCTGGAGACAAGGGAACATTTAGGGACCCTGAGAGTTCAGGGCACCAATGTGACTCTTTAGGGCTCCTGTGTGGGAGCCATCGGGACCTGGACAGAGTGCAGCCTGACTCAGCGGTTCCTTCCAGGGCAGATGGAGCTGACATTCCAAGCAAGGGGGGCCAGTCAGCTGGGACAGTGCAGACCACCCCCAGGGCCTGGAGGAACCACGTGGCACATCTGAGAAGATGAAGAGCTGGCCCTGAGAAGCACAGTGACCCTGGCTGCTGTGAGTCAGTGGAGTTTTCGACACACTGATCCCGGTAACAGTGAGAAACTTGTATTGTCCCCTCTGCTGACAACCACCAAAGCTCCCTTTTGGGAGGAAGAGTTTAAATCAGTAATAACATGAAAAGAAAAGTGCTCCTATAAACTTCCTGCTCAGTGCTGACACTTTACTGTGTTTGTGTGTGAGAAGGTATTTCACAACGCGTTCAAATTTTGTTTCTTATTGATTGTTGAATATTGTATTTATTTTCCTGCAGACATTGTCAAAATTTTTTTAATATTGAGACCAGAATAACATATGTTATGAACTAGTTTTTAAATTATACACTATTTTCATTAATTAAAGACTGGAAATTTTTAAATTATTGTTAAATAAACTATCAATTCAGTCTCTAGACTCCTATCTACAGATGGTAGTTTCCACCACTTTAAACTTAAATTGACTCCTCACCTCCAAATATTTTCATTTTTCCTGCTTCTGTTACTCATTTGGGACCACGTCCATAGTCACACCTGTCACGGCAGCTGTGTCATCAGCCAGGGTGAGGGCCCTCAATTCAAGGGCGACAGAGCTGCCCTGTGAGCTCCAGGACCCACCCCCCAGATGGAAGGCGCACGGTCTCAGCAGGACAGGGAGGGGCTCTCCACTCCCCACGTCCGCATGTCCTTCTACAGAGCCAGCAGGGTGATGCAGGTGGCAGCCACTTACACATTTACGGTAAATGTCACGTGTGTTTTTCTACTACTTAAGGCTGCTGCAATTTTAAAATAAATAGCCAAAAAAAGTTTCCTTTGAAAAAAATATACTCTTTTCACCTCATTCTCGATCCCTACTTGTGTGTCTCTCTGGTTTACGACAAAGCTTCACAGTCACTCACTTCTCATGTTCGATTCCCAACACCTTCTCCGGAACCTTTTTCTTCCACTTGCAGAAGTGGGAGGGATGCTTCTGTGTCCCAGAGGCAGACAGGCCTCACCCAGGGCCTCCTGTGACGACGTCATGAAGGCAACGGGCTTTTTGGGCCGCATGAGTGGTCACAGATCTCCTCTGCTCTGTGTGACGAGCCACACACTGACATGCCGGCTCAGCTGGAGGGACACACAGCACTGAGGATGAGGGTCCACAGGCACCAAGGTCCTGCCCTCCCCCCAGCTGAGCTTATTCCTGACACAGCAGCCACCCCTGCCTTCCTGGGCCTGCAGGGACCCCTGTCCTCACAGGGAGCCAGGGACAGAGGGCAGGTGCTGATGGGGACCAGTGTGTGCAGAGCAGAGGGTCAGGCCCAGGACGCCAGCGGGGAGGGGACGGCTCGTGGCCTCAGGAGGACAGAAAGAGCCCCCACACGGGGGCTGTGCTGATGGGGAAAGGCCCTCACATCTGTGGGCTCCTGACAGAGACGATATCAGACTGTGGGATCCCTTGTGTCAGATTCTGGCAGGTTCCTCACTCCTGAGCTGAGGATGTTGGCATCAGCCTCCCACCGACCCCTCCCCTGCTTGTCCAGAAGGAACCTGGGTCCCCGGATAAAGTATCTGCCTGGAGAGTAAACAGATGGGAATGTGAAATCAGAAAGGATCCGGTTCTTCTCAAAACCAGAGATGCTGGGAAAGTCTTCAGATCCTCAGAGAGTGGTCAGAGATGGGACAACCGAGTCACCTCTGATGGGAAGCTAGAGGAAGGGACGTGACCACAGATGGTGGAACCACAGAGGGAGGGGGAGAGTCTCATCTTCAGTCCTCACGGCTGGAACACACTGATGAGAACATTGTCTATCAGCTCCTATACTTCAGTCTCTTCCTGGGACTGGATGTAAAACACGAGTGGGAAGCTTTCCTTGCAAAACCTGAAGCCAGAGTTTCCATCACAAAATTCTCTGAGACACATGTCCCAGGTTGCCCACCCCAGGGCTGCTGCTGTCCCCGAGCCACACTGTGGCTCCACGTCTGTGATGCTGCTTTGACAATAGGTGACCTTGTTCCTGAGACCCGGCCCCACATGGTGGGTGCATGAGCCAGCACAGCCTGCAGGCAGGAACCTGGAAGACATCAATAAAGAGGGACTGACACGTGGGTCCCTGCTTCTTTGTCCCCAGCTTAACTCCCTTGAGACCCAACATTCCCAGAGGTCGTGGTGGTTTCAATGGGCTCAGAGTGTTGATGAGATTTCAGGAATGTTTATGTGTCAAAATCACCTTGTTCTATCCCTGCTGCTGCCTCTGCCAGGACAGTAGCTCTTGACTGTCTGTCCCGGGTCCCAGGCCCTGAAGGAGGCTGGATGAGCAGGGAGAGATGCAGGGACCTGTGTTGCCAGGGCAGGGACCACCCTGCAGGGAGGGGGCAGAGCTGGGGCGGGAAGCCCGAGGGAGCGTGAGCATCAGGGAGCTTCACCTGCATCAGGTGTGATCAGTGAGGAGAAGGGGAATCCAGGACGTGGGGGAGACGACCTGAGCCCGGATCTGGGCCCTGGAACTAGCCTCACACCCACCGCCCCCTCTGCAGCACAGGTACTGGAAGACCTTGCAGTTAACTCACTGCACGTCCTTCCACTTGGGAGAAACTGTTGTCGGGAACACTGAGAATTTTGAACCACACACCAAGATATTTACTTAAGTTTAATTTTTTTGGATGTTCTCTCATTTTCACTGTATCAGACTACCCTTTCCCGCAGATTTACCCTGAAGTGTACTGTTACAAATAAGCACTGACACAGAACAAGTGGGTTCTGGCGCCTGCTCCAAGGAAAGCCAAATTGGTGAGACAGGAGCTGGTATAAAAGACCGAGGTTTGTTTAGGTGCCGTGCAAACTCCCCAATATCCTGTGAGGTCCCCCATCAGGCTTTATTGGGGACATTTGTAGCAGTGGGCTGGGCAGATCCACAGCCCTTCTACTCTCTCCTGAGCCTCATGAGTAGCACATGTGGTCATAGCCAGGGGCAGCTGGATGGATTTGGGGTCCCAGTCCTAGAGAAGCACTGTGCCCCACCCCCAAGAGGCTGTGTCTGTGATAATGACGTTGGTGAGAGCTGGTGGAAGGAGACATGACAGAGGAGAGTCAGCAGCAGCTCAGGGAGACTCAGGGCTGGGACTCAAACTGTGTCCATGGCACCTGGAGACTCGAGAGAGTGAGATCCCTGGGGGAGGCCAGATGGCATCATGGCCAGCTCAGGTCAGGCCACACTGAGAGGGACATTTGAGCCACCTACAGACAGTTGTTTTACACAAGCAGGATCCAAAGCCACCCAAAGAGCCAAACCTGTTATAGGGGATGGGAAGGAGGAACAGGGATGTGCTCCCGAGGGGCGATTTCCAGGAGCCCCTGAGCTGCTCACCTGTGCAGAGAGAAGGGTGAAGAGAGGAAGACTCCAGGCCAGGGCAAGATTGTCCCCAGTTTGAACTCCTGACCCACTGCTGTGTGACATAACACCCCCATACATCTCTGGTCCTCATTCAGATGTTTTATCAGATGCATCTTCTCCGGTGTCCCCAAACTCTGCCTGTCTTCAGCCTCACGGACATCTGGGCATGACCCTTCTCATGGTGGGCAGAAGAGAAAGATCAAGATTACAGATGCTGCCTTAGTGATGGCGGAGCCCCCTTTTTTTTTAATCCTCACCTGAGCATGTTTATGGATTTGAGGTCAGAGGAAAGGGGGTGGAGAGAATGAGAAAGACAGAGAGAGAGAGGGATTGATGTGAGAAAGAAACATTGATTGGTTGCCTCATGTACAAACACTCAAAACCTATATGTCCCTTGAGCGGGAATCAAACCTACAAGCTTTCTGCTGCACAGGATGACGCTCCCACCAACTGAGCCACCCACAGTGCCTTTTGCTCATATCCTGGTGCCCACGGAAAGGTCACACACAATCATATTTCAGTGTGGACGAGATTCAGTTGGCTCAGCATCCCAGAGCCAGAGAAACCTGCTTCCCCTGAGCCCCGGGAGGAGAGAACAGGTCCCAGAAACAGGCCACAGTGGGCAGAGGCAGATGGCACTGCACTCACTCTAAGAACAGTTTTTTCTGGGAGGTGGGCCTGGGGCACACTGGACCCCTGAACCATCAGAAGCCCTCAGCCCACCCAGGCCTCTGATCCAGGCCTAGACCCTGGGCTGGGCACAGGAGGGTTCAACCACCTCCTTCCTTGTCTATCACTCCCCTGGAGAGTTATGTAGCCCTGAGACCTGATTTAGGACTGTTTACACACGAGCAGGCTGAGAAGATATTAACAAGAAAGATACAAATTTTTTAACTACAGTGAATCAGAAAAAAATCACATGCCCATGAGTCTTGGGAAAACAGTTGCCCACTGAAGAAGTGACAACAAATGACACCCTGAGTTGGACTTGGTCCCAGGCAGATCAGGGGTGATAGCCACGGACAGAAAGAGCACAGGGAGGGTTTTAGTCTCACTTCCCCGTGACTCTGGAGCACCGTGTAAGTTTTACTGCTATCGTGCCACATATTACAGTAATAGTCAGCCTCGTCCTCAGGCTGTAGCCCAGAGATGAGCAGGAGCCCTGCATTGGCTGATGTGTCCTTGGATCCAGAAAAGCGGCTGGGGACCCCGGAGCCCTGGTGCTTCTCTGAGTCTGATTTGTACCTCAGGAGGTACCGGGGAGGGCTCCCTGGCTTCTGCTGGAACCAGCGAATGTGGTAGTCAGCAACACTGAAGCCACTGCTGAGGGTGCAGGTGAGTCTGGCTGTGGCTCCCGGAGATGCAGAGAGGGAGGGCGGCTGAGTCAGCACAGGCTGGGACAGGGAACCTGCAAACACAGAGACATCAGTGGGAACACAAGGGTCAGGGTGCAGGTGCTCTGTGTCCTTGAGGCCTGTCCCTACCTGTGCAGTGAGAGAGGAGCACGAGGAGGAGCACGGGGGTCCAGGCCATGGTGTGTAGAGCAGAGCTGGGTTCCAGGAGCTGGAGCTCTGTCTTCCCAGCTTCTTTTATCTTCCTCACTGGCCTTGAAGAGGAGGGGCTACTCACACAAATTTGCTTCCCTTGCTGGAGAACCTGCACCACCCTGACATCCCGTCCCTGAAGTCTGAGTTTCTTTCTATAGACAGACTGGAGCCTTAGGGTGGGTCTCCGAGTTTCCCCATGGAAGGCACTTGGGAGGAAGCAGCCCCTGGAACTCTCACAGTCTCCTGATCACAGACTAGTCTGTGATCACTAGTCTGTGATCAGGAGACTGTGCCCAGCCCGGAGAACACAGCTGCTGAGTCCCCAACAGCAAACAGGCACCGTGGCCTCAGCCCTGGGGACTTGGGGAGATTGCACACCAGGCAGCACCCATGGGCCGAGGAAGGCCCACTGTGCCCCTGTTGTCCACCTTTCAACCTTCTGTCTGTGTATGGAAATGCTGTCAGAGATGTGGGCCTGATGGCGGGGTCGCTGTCATTTTAGCAGAATCCAGGGGCCACAACCCCTGTGGTGTTCCCAGGTAGCTGATATTAATAAACAGCCCTCCCTGTGGAGTAAGTTCCTAGGCCACTGCGAGTAAGCAGGATGGACACGTGACCCGTGTCCAAGGCAGACCTGGAGGAGATGAGCATGCAGAGGACTCTGGCAGCAAAGCCGGAGGTGACACAGGGAGGAGACTATGCTGAGCTGCGTCTGAATGGCCAGTGAGGGTGCGGCTGGTGCCCAAACAAAGGGCCCAATATTCTGAGACGACGTGAGGATTCTTAAGGGTTTAGCAGATTCTGCAGACACTCAGCAACGTGAAATGGCGTGTGTGTTTGTGGAACAGGTGACAGACCACACAGGCACCCATGGCACTGGCCTGGTGGCATGGAGGCTGCTGGGCAGAGAACAGCAATGTAGGCAGATTGCAGAGAGCTGTCTCGGTCAGAGGGCAGGGACGGAGGTGTTTAGGGGACAACTGTAATGAGGTATGGTTTTCCTACAATCGACATCACATGTGCTAACTCCTCACATGTGTGTATATCTATGAATCCATCCCCACAATCAAGACAATGAATACATCTTCCCCCTCAAAGATGTCCACGTGCCCTCTCTGAAGTCTCTCCTTCCTGCCACCCCCGCCCCGATCTCTAACCAATCACCTGGTGTTCCTTTCATCGTTTGCATGTCCTAGCTTTGTATAGAAATGGAATCTTATTTTCCCTGTTTTTCTTGTTTCCCTCATTTAGCGTTCTTTGGGGTCTGGCATGATCTGTACGTACACAGATCGCTCCTTGCTGGAGAGCGTCCCACTGCACAGCTCCCGCAGTGTGCTGGTCCATCGCCGGCTGACAGGCATGTGGGTCGTGTCCGCCCTGGGACGATTGTGCATACGGTGTTGTTTACATTGTAAATCGGTCAGTCATCAACTTATACTTGTGTGTTGCGATGTAATTATCAATGATGTAAATGTTTAATATTAATGAATGAATATAAATTTGGTCACAAATCATGTACATTATGAATGAATAGAGTCGCAGTGCATCTCTGTGGACATGTCCTTGCATGGATGTGCATTTTGTTTTTGTGGGTAAATACAACGGCTGGGTCACAGGGGAGATGTATGTTCAACCTCATGAGAAACTTCCAAGCTGATTTCCAAAGGGTCTTTTTGACTGCCCACTCCCCACCAGTGTTCAAGAGGTACGGGGCCACGCACCCTCCATGCTGGCATGGGGAGGCATTTTCATTCGCCCACTCTGCTACATGTGTAGCAATATTCTTGCTTCAATTTCTATTTCCATATCCTGCAATGATGCCGAACATACTGCCAGGTCCTAATTTGCCATCATAGTGAGGTGTCCACCTCTATTTGATCCAATTGCCTTCTAATTTTGAATTGTAAAAGTTCTTTGCATATTACTAATAGAAGCCTCTATTATAGATGTGGTTTTGCATATGCATTTCCTCAGTTTATCGGCTATCGTCTTTTAATTAAGCTTGACTGAATGATGTCACTTTATCTTCCTTAAAAGCATTCACAGAACAGCATGTCTCACACACTGGCCCCCCGGCTGGTCCCTGGGGTGACCCCGCTGATCTGTGACCTGCTCTCTGTGCAGTAAGCACAGTCGGGAAGTTTCTCTCTGGTTAGCTTTCCCTTTGGACAAACAAGGCCAAGGTCGGGGGCTGTGACAATCATCTGGTCAGTCTCTGTCACACAGTCTCACACACTCGCACACTCACACCCACACACACACACTGACACACATGATCTTCCCTGAGACACCCTGTGGCACTGTGGATGGCCCCATCATGGATTTCACCTTCTGTTCCCCAGGCATTTTGCTACTGAAAATGTGTTGTCATTCTGCTTGTTTGGGACAGTCATTGTTTTATTATGTTGGTATACATTTTAGTTTGTTTAATGTTTAAGGGTGATTGTGACCATTTTATATAAAATGGGAAGGGGCTATAGTGTGGCCTCATTTAAACCAGACACCCCGGGGCTTAGGTCTTTTGTTATTATCAGTAATTTTTTACCGCCTCTTGAATGTACCAGAAGCTGGACAGAATGAGGCCCTGGGTTTCTGTCACACTTCCTCATGTGTCTCTGTCACTGTGGAAAGTGCTGCTTTCATACACCTGACAGTAATAGTCGGCCTCGTCCTCAGGCTGCAGCCCCGAGATGACCAGATGTGCAGCGTTGGCTGAGGTGTCTTTGGATCCAGAGACCCGACTGGGGACCCCAGGTCCCAGCTTGCTGTTCGAGTCTGAGTAGTAGTACAAGAAAAACCTGGGAGCGCTCCCTGGCTTCTGCTGGTACCAGTACATGTATTTACTACCAACACTGAGGTCTCTGCTGAGGGTGCAGGTGAGTCTGGCAGTGGCTCCAGGAGATGCAGACACAGAGGGCGGCTGAGTCAGCACAGGCTGGGAGAGGGAACCTGCAGACACACAGACACGTGGGAGTGAACAGGAGGGTCAGGGTGCAGTCCTTCTGGGTGGGTCTCTGAGGCCCGTCCCTACCTGTGCAGTGAGAGAGGAGCGCAAGGAGCAGAGGGGTCCAGGCCATGGTGAGCACAGGCTGTTCTCAGGCCACAGAGCTGGGGCTGGACTGCCCAGGCCTCTCTTATCCCCTCCCTGATCACAGACAAGGGGCTGCCTATGTAAATGTGTCCCCACCCAGAGCTTATCCCCCAGGGGCACTGACAAGGTCTGTGGCCCTTGCCCTCACAGCCAGGCTCATGTGCTGGTTTCCCCTGTGGGTGGGTCTGGGGGAAGCATCTGCTGGAACCACACTCAGGCCCAGGTGCAGGGGACTCACATGCCCACAGAGGACGCACCTGCCCAGTCCTCCCAGGAAGTAAACAGCCAGCCAGCCCAGCTGATCCTGTAAGAGCAGACCAGGCACAGTCTCACAGCGACCCCTGCTGGTTTTTTAAAACCACTCCAACTCCTCACCTTCCCCTGCTTACTTGACTCCCCTCTTTCTAATACAGGAGAGTCACCCCCACAGGGACAACACAGGGGCGCTTTTGCTGTGAGCATCACGAATTCGGGCCTCCTCCATGGGTGGTGGGCCAGGGCAAGCATCACAGAATCCTGCTGAGGAGAGTGTGGGGACCACTGTGGGGCAGAGAACACAGGGCCTGGATCTGAGAGCAAAGTGGACCTGTCCCCATGCAGGGCCCTGAGGAGGGAACTTGCTCTGGGTGCTGGGTGTGAACAGGAGCTCACCAGGGCCACAGAGACCTTCACAGAGGAGGACATAGAAGGAACAGAACACTGGCCCTTGCAGAGCAGGGTGGGGGGGAGTCCGCACCCCCATGGGGCTGATCTGAATGGAGCAACTAAACAACAGGGGGTTTGGGGAGGGGGCAGGGCCTGGGCGTCCTTGGGAATCACTGTGGGGCCTGCCTGCAACTTTGCCCCACGTGCTGGGACATTTTAAATTGCACTTGAACCTGTCCTCAGAGCTGCATTCATTATAATCATCCTCATGCCTTAGGGATTCAGCACTGCTGGAAGTCCTAGGGCAGAGCTTGGGACAGGAATCAGCAAGGGCACATTCAGGGGCAGCTGGCAGGAGATGACAGCAGAAGGAACAAGCACAGGGTGGGTGGGTGCTGTCCTGAATGGGACTCAGAGAGGAGAACGGCCTGACCCCACAGGATGGGTTACAACTCTGATGTATTAGAGAAATTGCAACACAGTTCTTAAGGTCAAAGTTAGTCATGTTCTTACAGTCCCTCAGGAAGTTACCCCAACTCATCTGTCATTTCCCAGGCTGGCCAGGGGCTCTCAGACCAGACAACCTTTTATTCAGTGAATGTCCACAGATACCCTCGCAGTTGAGCAAACATCCTAAATCTGCCCGCTGCTGCAGGGTCCCAGGCTGACCGTGCTTGTTATGAGAGCAACTCTCTGACGCCCTATAGAACCTAGTCCTGTGCCCCGTCATCACAATCACCCACTGAGGCAGGTCTGACGTTCCCAGGGACACGTATTCTCAGGAGGAGGAAGGAACGTCCGCGTGTTCTGAACTGGGCAGCCCACCCTGCCTGTGTCTGTGACATGGGGACTGACGGTGTGTTTCAGGATGAGCAATAAATTTGCCAGTGGCTTCTCTGTGCAAGTGAACCCAGAAAAGACACCAGACCTCCTGCTACCTGTCACCTCGGAACCCAGGGAGCAGAGACAGAGATTGAATCTCTATGGGGCTTTATTCAGACGGCCAGTGATCTGAGGAGAGGGCGGGTTGGCACCCTTAAAGAACCTGCTCACATTTCCTTTCCAGGCCAACGTTTTTATAACAGGGAATAAACAAGGTGTGAGGAGGGGTTTTGAAATTCAAGGAGCATTGGGTGAGAGAAACTGCAACATTCCTGTCCTGGGCAGTTAGCTGTTCCCTAGGACTAGTGGTCCTCTGTCTCTCTCTGGAACACAATGGCCCGGATGCCTCCCCTTGCCCCCAGGCGGTGGTCGGCCGCAGTGCCCCAGGAGGTCAATTTCTCCCAGGAGCCAGGATGGGCCTTCTCTGTAGTTTCTGAAACAAATCTTTAACATATGCATTACTTACTAGGCTTATAACTGTTTATGTTAAACTAAAATTTTCCAAATTTTCAGTCACCTATCACAAGTACTCAAAGGTGGATGCTCGCATCTTTTAAAGGAAGCAGTAATTACATGTCATATTCCAGAGATTGGCTGTGGGTGGTGGAGAGTGGATGACACACCTGGGAGTTGAGAGTAGGAAACACTTACGAAGTGAACCTTCGAAGTAAACTTACGCTCATCTAATGAAGTTAACCACCCTCCCTAGAGACAGAGCCCTGGGGAACGGAACTCCAGCAGGAACTTGTCCTTTTTCCTGAAAATTAAAGTGGAGATGGAGTTGAGTCCCACAGAACCAGAGGGAGAGAGAAGGGGGGAGGGAGGCTGCAGCAGAGGAGGGGAGGGACGATGTGCAGGGCCTGGGTCCCTTCACCTGTGCTGGCTGCTCCAGGGACAGAGGAAACCGGGTCTATGACCAGGGTGCTGTTGACATATCACTGTGGAGATGTCATTAGCAACACAATATTGACACTTTAAAGTGTAAGGTTTGCAAGTGAACCTGTCTTTTTTCACTTGTGCTTTTTTATCCTTGCCTGAGGACATGCTTATTAACTTTACAGGGAGAGGAAGCAAGGGGGAGAGAGAGGGGCACCAATGGGAGAGAGAAACAATGGCCTGTTGCCTCCTGCACCTGCCCTGACCAGGCATTGAATCGATGACCTAGGCATGTGCCCTGAATGGGAACACAAACCCCAACCCTTTATGAGACAACACTCCAACCAACTGCACCACACCAGCAAGAAAAAACGTTTTATACTTGCAGACACAGTGTTAATTTGTTACCTTATTCCTACCTGTTGAGATCTGGGAAATTGAGAACATAGCCTGACCACAGCAAAACAGGAACAAGGAGCAGCATGCAAACAAAGGCTGAGCAGACATCCTGCAGTGTGTGAGTGCCCTACTTAGAGCAAGATAGACAGATTGTAATCTGTTTAGTTTTGAATTTTGAAACCCCACCCTGTTCCCGCTGAGTGGTCTCTGTCAGCAAATAGCTAACTGCCACGTCTGCTTCTGTTCAATGCTTGCTTGCGCGTCCCTATATAAGGACTTAGCTGTAAGCGCTCGGTGCGACTCTTGTCTGCAGTCCTCTGGGCACCTAGTGTCTGGACACCCCGAGAGTTCGCCCCTGCGCAGGTTAAGCTTGGCCAATAAAATAAGATCAAAACCCTGAAAGGTCTTCGAAAATTATTCTCGCATCCGGTGGATATAACACTACCCTGTGGGTGTGGGCAGCAGGGCTCCATCACCTCACTGGTGTGAGACCCTGGAATGCCCTGCGCTCCCTGACTGAGTCACTCATTCCTGTTCAACAACAGGGCCTAGTGAGGAGCGCCCCCTGCAGGCACCTTCGCAGAAGTCTCTCAATAAAAGATCCTCAGAGACAAGGTCCCTGGGCCCAGGGGTTTCTGTCTCACTTCCTCATCATCTGAACCACTGTGAGTAACTGTAGCTGCTCCCACTGCCATGATACACAGCACAGTAATAGTCGGCCTCATCCTCAGGCTGCAGCCCCGAGATGACCAGATGTGCAGCGTTGGCTGAGGTGTCTTTGGATCCAGAGACTCGACTGGGGACCCCAGGTCCCAGCTGCTTGCTTGAGTCTGAGTAGTAGTACAGGAAAAACCTGGGAGCGCTCCCTGGCTTCTGCTGGTACCAGTACATGCCATTACTACCAACACTGAGGTCTCTACTGAGGGTGCAGGTGAGTCTGGCTGTGGCTCCAGGAGATGCAGACACGGAGGGCGGCTGAATCAGCACAGGCTGGGACAGGGAACCTGCAGACACACAGACACGTGGGAGTGAACAGAAGGGTCAGGGTGCAGGTGCTGCAGGTCTCTAGGTCCCATCCCTACCTGTGCAGTGACAGAGCAACACAAGGAGCACGGGCGCCCAGGCCATGGTGAGCTCAGACTGTTCTCAATCCTCACAGAGCTGGGGCTGGACTGCCCAGGCCCCTCTTATCCCCTCCCTGCTCACAGACCAGGGGCTGCTCATGCAAATGTGTCCCTACCCACAGCTCGTCCCCTGGGGCACTGACTTGGTCTAGGGCCATTCTCCATGGAGCATGCCTGTTGTGCTCATTTCCCCTGTGGGTGGCGCTGGGGAAGCATCCAGGGGCTGGCCAACCCCACCCTGCGCCCTGGTGCTGGAGCTCCGCTCACACCCCAGACAGAGGGGGATGGAGTTTGGCTTCACCTCTTGCGAGATCCCTGGGAGGAAGCATCTGGTGAGACCACACAAATGGTAATGCTCAGGAGGGTATGCCAGCCCCAAGAATAGACACAGCTTCTGAGTCCTCATTATGTAGCACAGGGCCCAGCCTCCAGGTCCAGGCTCCTTTGAGTGATGTGTTCTCATTGAGCTGGTAGCTGTACAGGGACCACAGTGCAGTCACGTTCCAACTCCTGCTGGTCACAGGGACCACTTGTGTCCTGGACCAAAACCCCGAGAGCCCAGCTGGTTTCTGCAGCTCAGCAGGTCACTGGCTGTGTTTACACATCCAGGGGCTGGTTCCCAGATACTGTGACTCTGATACACTGTACTGGTTACTGGTGCTTCTCACTCCCAGGAGTCCTTTTCTGTGGGAGGTGGAAACAGAAATGTACAGGATAAATTAATTTGGTTTCACCCCTGGTGAAGATGGGGCTGAGCACATGCACAGTGAGCTTCCTCTCCAACCTTACAGATGACGGACAGCTGATCCGGTTTGAAGGGCTCACAGGGGCTGCTTGGGAAAACAGCATAGAAATGGGATTTTCCAGGAAAACGCTCATAGGCACAGTCAAAGGAGAGCAATGCAACAAACATTTTAATTCATGGAATCCATTTACAAGTTTTTAAAATAATTTTTAAAAGATTTCGTTAATTTCATTGGAGAGAAGGGAAGAGAGGGAGAAAGAGAGGAAGAGAAACATCAATGTGTGGTTGCCTCTTACGCGTCCCCACTGGGGACCTGGCCTGCACGCCAGGCATGTGCCCTGACTGGGAACCAAGCCAGCGACCCTTTGTCACAGCCTGAGTTCAATCCCCTGAGCTATACCAGCCAGGGCATTTACAGTTTTTATGGAGATCTGATTTACTTTAGTACAAATTGGTAAAGAAAATCATGATAATAAGGGCTTTGCTTGGTTTCACAAGCAGTGGAGAATGCGGACTGATTCCTCATTTCACAAATGGATTTACAGTCTTACCTTTGCAGGGTTCTCCTCCTCTGTGTCACATGCTTCTTGTCATGGTTCTGCCACAGGTGTCCCAAATTCATTTCTGTTTTAAACGAGGCTTTCCCTGCCTGGATTGTCTTCCTCGTTGTCTCGCTTTAGTAACAAGGTAACAGTCGGGTGAGATGTGTTTGCAGACAAGCTGTCTGTGCGGTTGGAGGCAGAGACCAGCATGTCCCTCTGTGCCCAGATCCACCTCTGCTGTACCTGCGGCCATGGTCCCATGGTCCCCACACGTCTAGACTCATGGGGACCGCTAGTAATGACTCTGACCAGGATCACTTGCTCATCTGGGGCGCTGTGTCCTCAAGGCACTTGAGGAGTCTTTCTCATGCAGCTCAGACACGGCAACCCCAGCTGAAAACACTCAGGGGCTGCTCAGTGCTGGTTACACAGAACCCCACCTCCTCAGATCCCCTCAAGAGACTCCATGACCTGCTGGCTCCACACCCAGATGGCAGCCCCTCCCCTTGCTCTCAGACACTGAGCTTCCTTGACATTTTTATAGCTGCAGAACCATGGACAACTTTTCCCTGTGGTCTCCATCCAAGTCAAATTCTTCTTTCTTTGTTGGAGAAAAAAGCTTAAACTTCAGATTATGATGAAAACACAACTTTTGGTCATTTTGAGTTTCTTTTAATGACAGGACCTAAATGTATCATCAGAGAGACAGAGAATTTAAAAATGCATGTGATGGAGAGAATTTTGAAGTTCCACAAATTGTAGAGACTACTTCAGCAAACTCGCTGGATGTCTCCACCATCCCCAGCACATCCTCCACAGGACCCCTCCCACCTGTCTGCCCTCCCCCGGGACTGCAGCCCACCCCCGGCTGACTGTGAAAGCACACAGTGTGTCAGCGTGTGCGTCTGCTCCTGTGCCCGCATCAGATGCCCTCAAACCCTCACACATGAAAGCGATGGAAGCCACGACTCTCACATAAGCGTGTGTGTGCTGTGATCCACTCAAAGGACACAAGATTGGCTAGAAGGTTGGCCCGTAGCAAGCCCATGCATGTCTGGAAAGTTCACTGGCTCTTTGTAAAAAGGGCACGGTCCTTCCTAAGCCTGAGATACCATAATGCCAGGGCACACAGAGTCCTCTCTCTCTCTCTTACCTGGTTCATTCATGTCTTCTCTCCATGGCAACGTTTGGGTCTAGCAGCCAGTCAGGGCCCACAGCAGGCCCCACAGGATCCGAAGGACTGAGCTTCCATACAAAACAGGAACCCTGGACACGGGCCTTTGTTCAGCTGAAGCCACAGCTGAACGTCTTCCATGGCAGGACAGACTGACATGTGACGCAGCACCAGCCTCCTATTTCCACCGAATCAGTCTTGCCCCCCACAGTCTCCCATGAGTGAGTCGGAGAAGTGCTTTTCTCGGGGTCCCGTGAAAGGACCCCATTTCCACAAGCAGCATGAAGGGCCACCGGGTTCTCTGGGGTCACACCTGGGGCACGCAGGCCTTTCCTACCCCCGCTCAGCACTGGGGGAATGTTTCACTCTGGAAACAAGGCAATTGTGTTTGATTTGGGAGAACTGTATTTTCAAGCAGATATTTTCATTGATACCATAAAGATGAACAGATTAGAGAGAATGAAACCCTTTGGGATTAATAGAATTCGTGACTGACAAAGCAAACTCCTGAGCTGGTGTTGGTCACAGGGAAGGACAGGGGCTTGATGAGCCAGGCCAGGGCAGGGAGGGCAGATTTATCACTTGTCCTTATGGAGCAGGTGATCTGCGTGGCATTGGCTTGTGTTCAGCTCTGTAACAATGATCGTCAGCCTCTCCCAGGGGCTGGATCCCAAAGGTGGTCAAGAGGTTCTGGTGACAAGACTGGTTTTGGAGTATGAGACTCAAACCCCTGGAAGGTCTGTCATAACTCTTCTAGGCCACCAATGCAGGGGCTCTACCTGGGAGCCCTTGGGAACATTGCCATGGTCACCCCCAATGTGTCTGCTGCTCCCTGTGGAAGAGAATTTGACCTGGAGTCCGGGCTCATCAGCTGCTTCATGGGGGAGGACACACAGGCACACACTGGGGACTGCCTGCTCCTGATGTCCTGAGGCCCAGCACACAGCCTGGGTGCCTAGGGAGCCCAGGGAAGTGTGAGAGGACAGGGGGACAGTCAGTGCCTGTGGGCTCAGGAGAACCTACTGATAGTCATGAGGTCACCAGTCATGGAGGGTGTCCAAGGGTCCAATGTCCAGGTTGAGGCTGAAGGGCCTGGGGCTGTGGGCATGTTGAAGAGTTAACACAAGGTTCTCACTTATGACATTAATTTGTGGGTTCACGTGACTCTCTGGGTCATCATTTATACTTGCAGACACAGTATTGTGAGATAACAGAGAATATATATTGGTCTCAGTCTCCTGACCTTGAAATTCCCTGGGTGACAGGTGTTCCTTTTGTTCTAAAGAGGTGACTCTGGGTGGGCTCCTGGGTGAGGACTGGACACTCATAGACAGAGGCACGATTCAAAGCCTGGAATTTTCAGACGTGCCCCCCATTTCCCTGAGGAGGGAGAAGAGCTCAGGTGGAGTCAGCAAACTAATTGAAACCACAGGAGGGACCTGGGAGCCTTGGAGTTATAGCCAAGGCCAGGAGCAAAAACAAAGGACATCATGCTTGTGACTGTCACCTGAAGTGCAGGTAGTTCCATGGGAGGAAGCCGGTCACTGTGGACCTGACAGCGTCCCCAGGCAGTCGTGTGGGAGCTGAGTTGTGTGGTGGGACCTCCAGCTGATGTCACAGAGAATTGCTTGTTGTGAAAAAATTCCCCCTACATTTCGTGACCAGAAATGTCAGAAGTGCAGGGTTTTATGTGACTACAAAACAAGACACAACAATGGGGGAAAACTGTGATTTTTTTTCTTAAAAATATTAATTTTGTTAAGATTTATTTCAATACTCTGGGGACAATCAGTTGAGATTTGTCACCCCTGCAGTGTGAGTGACCCGGGGACGCCCTGTGCCCTCACTCATGACTGTGCTGCTCCTTCCCTTCCATGGACATGCTGATGCAGAGGAGCCCACCTTACAGGGGCCTCCACAGCAGCATCAGTGAGACCCAGAGCCATGACCTCTGGGCCCAGGGGTTTCTGTCTCACTTCCTCGTCATCTGAGCCACTGTGAGTGACTGTAGCTGCTCCCACTGCCAGGCTCTACAGAACAATAATAGTTACTCTCATCCTCAGGCTGGGCCCCCGTGATGGTGAGGGCAGCTTTGTTCCCAGAGATGGATCCAGTGAAGCGCTCAGGGACCCCTGAGGGCCGGATGTTTGTATTGTAGATGAGTGTGCGGGGAGCCTGGCCTGGGGTCTGCTGGAACCACTTGGGGTAGTGACTATTGGAGACTGACCCAGAGCTAAGGCCACAGGTGAATGTGACTGTCCCTCCTAGAGACACGGACACTGAGGTCTCCTGAGTCACCACAGCCTGAGAGAGGGACCCTAAAATAAAAACAGACACACCAGAAATGAGGAAGGAAGGCAGGGCGTCCCTTCCAAACCTGGTCTACAAAATGTCCACGAACCTGGGCAGAGAGTGAGCAGGAGCAGGAGCAGAAGAGGAGTCCCAGTCATGGTGCCAATGTGTCCAGGACACTCTGACCCCACAGCTGACACTGGACACTCTGGTGGCTCCTTTATCTTCCTCAGATCCCTGGAGGGAGAGGGTTTGTGTTTGGTTCATGCTTGATGCAAATCTCAGCTCTTTATTTCCCCATCCTCAATTTCCTGCATCCTCACCCAGGGCCACTTCTACCTTCGGGGAAATGGCTGGCCTGCGCGTGGGCTCTGAATTGGTCTCTGGGAGGAAGCACCTGCTGTAAAATATACCTCAAGCCAGTGACCTTGCTGTCTTCAGGGTCTTTAAATCTGAAATTACTGCAGGCCTTGCTCACCTCAAGTGGATCCACAGTGCCCCCTGATGACAGCCTCAAAAGTAATAGCTATAGTATGAATTCTTTAGAGCAAATGTCCCATTTCTTTCAAATATGTTGCAGTCTTTGAACATGTCCAGGTATCACCAGGCTCATTGGTCTTCCGTCTTTGTGAATATTGTTTAGTAGTTTTTCTCCTCAGTTCCCAGAATTCAAAGTAACTGTTAGTCTGTTCTTCAGCCCATCTACTGAGTTTTTTAGTCATCTAGTGTCATTTTCATTTCGTTTTATTCCCTTCCGTTTGAATTTATAATGTATATTTCATTTCTGAGGTTAACTCCCTTTTCACTTGTTTAACAGTGACCATCATTTCCGTGAGCTCCCTTCCCTTATTAACATCCGGTTACTGATGTTGACAGAACCATGAGATAAACAGACAGAGAACGCAGAGATGGACACGTACAAGGAGAGACAGAGACAGAGGGAGACAGGGAATGAGCACAGGAGAGAGTGGACCTGGGGAAGTCAGGCTTCCCGTAACTACACTGAATGACCCCGCATCACTTGGTCCTACTGTGTTCTCAGAAAAAAGTCCCAAAGTTCATCCAGCCCCAAAGGAGAGGGGACACAAGGGGTGGGAGAACAGGAGGTAGAAACACTGGGAGCCATCCCGGGACTCCCCACACACAGGCCACACGAGGCACTTGGCCCTGAGTCTGTCCACACTGGGATCCCTGGAAGGTTGCCACCCGAGGGATGATGTTGCAATTTTGGGTCTTTTCAAACTTCCTGTGGCCTGGGAGGCAGGCAGGAAGAGCAGTGAGTTCCCCTCGATCCAGAGCAGGCCTGGTCTATTTGCATTGAGTTCTGTGCTCCCCCAGCCGTCCATGTGTCCCTCCATGTGTCCCTCCCACTGCTGAGTCTGTGCCTGTGTCCCCTGGATCCCGCCCCGAGGTGACAGGCACCTCATGTGTTTATAGGGCCACACACCTGAGGACACAGTAGGAGGTAGATGCTGGAAAGGTCCCAGTCACAGACTGGGGACTAAGGCTTCTTGAGAAGATATAACTGGTTTAGGGTCCCCTCACTGGTGAGAAGGAGGAGCCTGAGGCCAGGTCAGTGTCCTCAAAGCTGAGGCCCTGGCTGCACCCAGGCCACCCATGGCTTGGGGTGGGTGTGTCAGTGTATCAGTGTGTGGACAGCAGTGGTGGAGCTGCGTGTGGCATGGGTGCTGGGTGAGCAGTGGGCCGCCCAGAGGGACCCTTGGGGAACTTTTATTCTAGGAACAAGCACAGGTGGGGACCTGAAGCAGTGATCTCACTTCTGGTGATGGAGCAAAACAGAACTTGGGACCCTGGTGACCAGGCAGCCACACTCTGGAGGAGCATCTCCTCAGCTCATTGAGTTGCAGATGCTCCAGAAACAAAACATTCACTTGTTTTGTCCCCAGCGTGGGAGGCACCGGCCTCAGGAAATCACGCAATGACAGTGTCCTTACACTTCACAATTGTTGTCAGATAAGATGCCTCTGATCCTTTCCCAAGAAACTCAGAGATGACCCAGAGAGACTCAGGTGGTCCAGTTTCGGCTAGATCACCACTCAGATTTTACCTGGGCAGCCCTCTGTCCCCTCTGTGTTCTGTGTGTGGAGGGTGAAGAGTTCTTGTGGGCCAGGCCCACACCCACCCCCCACAAATGCAGCCTGAGGGGGACCAGAGCCTGGCGTGGTGGTCACATTCATCCCCCAGGTAAAGGCTGGCAGGATGTGTGGTGTGGGGAGCCTTCTGACTGCAGTTCACTCTGGAGGTGAACTTCCTGTCCCAGGGGTACAGTTGTGGGGAGACACAGGCTTAGCTGATGCGGGAGCGGAGAGTAAAATCGGTAGGAGGAGCCCCATGGAGGGCCTGGGGGGCTTCCAAGGCCTTAAGAGCAGCTCTTGATCACTGTCATTGCAGACGTGCCCTCAGGATACAGAGAATTTGGTTTCACCTTCTGTGTGAAACCAAATGACAGTAATGTGGCCCAGATGTGGCCCAGCACATGAGCAGTGAGCTTCCTGTCCAACCTTACAGATGATGGACAGCTGATCCCGTCTGAAGGGCTCACAGGGGCTGCTCGGGGAACCGGCACAAAAAAGTAGTTTCCCAGGAAAACGCTCAGTGACATGTTCAAAGGAGAGCAACACAGCAAACATTTTAATTCATGGGATGCATGTACAGTTTTTATGGAGGTCTGATTTAATTTAGTAAAAAGTAAAAACTAATGGCTTTGCTGGGCTTCACAAGTACCAGTGAAGAATGTGAAATGCCTCTTTGTTTTAGAAATTGACTTCATATTGTGAAGTTTGCAGGATTCTCTCTATCTGTGTCACATGTTTCTTGTCAAAATTTTGTCTAAGGTGTCCTAAAAGTTGTTTGTATTTCAAACAAAAATGTCCTGTACTTTCTACTCCCTGTGTCAGTTTAGTAACAAGCTAAGTGTGAGGTTGCGCTGCGTTTGCAGACGTGCTGCGTGTCTGCACAGTGCAGTGCAGGGTCCCCCTTCCCTCTGGGCCCTGTGGGCAGCTCTGCTCCACTGTGCTAACGGGGCCGCCGTCCCCACACTTCTGGACCCACGGGCCTTTCGGTAATGGTTACTACGACCAGGAACACCAGGTCCCTAAGGCCCTCCCTCCTCCAGACACCCAGAGGGATCTTTCCCGTTTTTCAGGCAGGTGCTCCCTGCTTACAAAGATCATGAATCCTCTCACTGCTGGTTGAACAAAGCACTGTCTCCTCCAAGGAGAATCCAAAGCAGTTTGGTCACTTGAGCAAGGACGATCCTGTGTTGGAGGTGCCCAAGGAGACAGAGCCTGTGGTCTCAGAGGCCCTTTATCCCGGACCGGTACCGTGTGCGGGTTTTGTGAGGGGGGTTGACCCCACAAGAGGTAGTTCTGCTGCTTCAGTGATGCGGGGACTGCAGCACAGTGAACATTGTGTAGATAACACACAGGCCCCAGGCAGATGTCAAGATGGGCTTTTCTCATTGATGAGGACCAGCTCAGGAGGAAGGAACCGCCCTCTGCTAGGGCAGAGCCTTCAGAGTAGAAGATTCAGCACTTGGCAGATGGGACCCTGTTGCAAGCTATATCCCAGAGGCAGGGGACAAGTCGGTGGCAACAACAAGGTAATTCTGCTAGGGCCCAGGACATCCAAGTCCCATCTCACAAAGACCAACTCGTTCTAGAATTTTCTCTGCCCCTACATACAGGCGAGCACCAGAATAGAGGGTGAACCTCATGGTACCCACTGCAGTCTTTACAGGTTATGGGCTCTGGGAACTGAAGGATGACAAAGTCTTCACATTCCTGTCCACACAGAGATGGTTTCCATCTCTGAGGGTCACTGTCAGGATTATATTTCATGTCCCAGAGTGGTGTTGCCAAGGCGGGTCCTGATGCTGTCTCTACTGTGACCCTGGACAGGGCGGGGGTCCTCCTTGGGGGCCCAGTGGAGCCCCTGAGCCATAAGACTTCACTAGAGGGGTCATTGGAGTGTCATTGACCTTCAGGTTGACATGAGAGTGAGTGAAGAAAAAGCTCTCAGATTTGGGCTACAGTGAGATTCCATTAGTTTGTGGTTTTTTTAATCTCTTCATACTTATTTGTTAAAATATTGGCAGACTATTTACCATATGATAAAGACAAAATGAATCAAGAGTGAGAAATGGAGAATTCTCCCATGTACAAAGAAAATGAAAAAGACACATAAGAAACAACACGTCCCATGATAATAGTCTCAGGTGTAGAGGAAGGAGACGTCACCAACACTGCCTCTGGGTGGCACATCAAATTCACATTCAAATGGCAGATTAGAACAACTACTAATTTTTAGTAGGAATTGATAATGTAGAAAATTTAAATTAAATGAGGATAACATTAAACAAGCATGGAAGCTGCTGGCACAGGGTGGCTGTGAGAGGCAGCCTCGTCCTCAGCTCTGAGCCCAGTGAGGGTCCAGGAGCCTGAGCTGCCAGAGCTGATCCTGAAAATGGATCGTGGGCCACACAGGGTGGAGGCCATGCAAGTGATGGGGAGCAGAGGCTGAGTGGGGACATGTTGGTGACAGCACACACATGGGGCCTTCCTGACGTGCACTGATGCAGACACAGCTGGGTTCCATGTCCCTGCTTCTTCCTGACCCATCACAGACTCTGTTCCCAGCACAGCCTCCCCCTGAAATACAGGGACTTCCCCAAATTTGAGAAAACTACACACTGTGTTGTTGCCACTGACTGGCCTCAGAGGCAGTGTTCAAAGGTTGGGACAGATGTTCCTGTCAAAGTCCCCTGTGGTGGGTCTCAGACCTGAGTTCAGGCCAAGCAAACTGAGAAAGCAGCTGTCTTCTCAGAACAGTGGGGACTGTACCGGGGAAGCGCACTGCAGGGGACAGCAGGTTTTTGTCTCACTTCCCCACGGCCCTGCAGCACTGTGAGAGCACTGATACTGTTGTCCCATGCTGAGCAGTAATAATCGGCCTCGTCCTCAGCCTGGAGCCCAGTGATGGTCAGGGTGCCGATGCTGCCAGACCTGGATCCAGAGAACCGGTCGGGGATCCCCGAGGGTCTGCTGCTAGTACCATAGATCACGGTTTTAGGGGGTTTCCCTGGGAACTGTTGGTACCAGTACACATTATAACCACCCCCGATGTTGGAGCTGCTTCCAGTGCAGGAGATGGTGATGGTCTGTCCTGGGTTTCCAGACACTGAGGGAGGCTGAGTCAGCACAGCCTGGGCCCAGGACCCTGCAGGAGGGAGACACAGACATGGTGATTCTGGGTAGAGACACAGGATCAGGAAG